ATGATGTAGGCATTGTGATGTAGCGTTAGGCTACTACTGTCCTTCTGACAATACGTCAGAAGCAGAAGGGGGATCGTCTGCTTCCGGACTGCAGTTGACCGCAGGTAACTGAAACCACAGAAAGCGAAACCACGGATAAGGGGAGACTACTGTATAGAGAGCTTCTAAGGTACCCATAATGTTCTATTTCTTAACCTGGGTTGTTGTACATGGTGTTTATCATTGCTCTTTAAACTGTATATACATCTTATGTACTTTTGTTATGTATGACTTATCACAATTAAAAACATTTTTTTTTTTACTTCCAAGATTGAGATGAAACCAATTTTCTCACTAGAGTTCACATCTAGATTTCTTAACCCTTCCAGATTTTAAATAAGTAACCTGGGCCTGCTAAGCTCATCTGTAGCCGGAGACAGTTAACTTGGTTTAGCTGACTTAAGTGGATCATGGTGATGGATCTGCAATGAATCACTAAGAGAACTTAGGAATGTTTGGGGGTTGACATTATTAAAGAGGATTATCCCTCATGCTGCTGAGGGACACATAATCAAACCAGGCAGACAATGGCACTGTTTCCTATGCTGTTACCTCACACAGCATTTATTTTTTCTATCATCCATCCTTTTCCTATAGTTTCAGGGTTAATTCTAATGATAGAAGAACATTTCTGAAGGCCAGAACCCTCATAATTCTTTCAATTCAACTATCCAACAACCTAATAGGTACTAAGCACATAAAGCCTGGGGGTGAGAATAAAAAATTATTCCCAGCCTTCCAACATGCCTGAGTGTTTGACTTACCCTGGATAACTTCTGGCATCTCACATTAAAACATTTTGAAACCGGGGAGCCTTCCTGCCTCAGTCAAAAGAGCATGTGACTCTTGATCTTGGGGATCATGAGTTCAAGCCCCATGTTGGATATAGACATTACTTACATAAACTTAAAAAAAAACTTTTTGAAACTTCTATAACAAGTTCACATTTCAAAGGCAACATTTTTTAAGTTCCGTAACAAAGTGGGGAAAAATTGAAATTGTTCAATGTTGTATGTTTGTCAAAAATCAGAATGAAGATGGGGTCCACAGAAAACAAACAATTGCGGGAATGAGCTAAGCAATTTCATGGCCATCTTTTGATGTTAAATCAATTGTTAAAACAAAAACAAAAACAAAAAAGCCCTACAACAATATTTAAAAAAAGGGTGGGGGGAGACCCCCAGCTGACTCAGTTGGTAGAGCATTCAAGTCTTGGTCTGAGGGTTGTTGAGTTCAAGCCCCACGTTGGGTGTAGAGCCTACTTAAAAAAAATAAAAATTTAAAAATTAATTAATTAAATCAATGCAAATACAGGAATTTCAACATCCAATTTCCAGAGATACAATTAGGTACATATAAATTCAAGTATTTTGCCATTTTCGTGGCAAAATACAGAACTTCAGAAGCAAGGCAGTTAGGCTAAAGAGGTTACAAGAATAATTTATCCTCTTTAAAATCTTTTTTTTTTTAAAGATTTTATTTATTTGCCAGAGAGAGAGAGAGCACAAGTAGGGAGAGGGAGAAGCAGGCTCCCCGCTGAGCAAGGAGCCCAATGCAGAACTCAACCCCAGGACCCTGGGATCATGACTTGAACCGAAGGCAGACAGGTATCCCCTCTTTAAAATCTTTTAAGGGCTCCTGGGTGGTGGCTCAGTCAGTTAAGCGTCCGAATCTTGATTTCAGCTGGGGTCGTGATCTCAGGGTTGTGGGACTCCGTGCAGTCAACTTACCCCTCTCCCTCTGTTCCTCCCCACTTGCCCCTCTCCCTCTGTTCCTCCCCACTTACCCCTCCTCCTCTGTTCCTCCCCACTTGCACTCTCTAATAAATAAAAATCTTTTAAAATTTATTTCCAAAATATTAAACGTATGCTCACTGTAGAAAAGTCAGAAAATATAAAAAAAAATCACGAAGAAAAAAACCCATTTGTAATCCTGCTTATGGAGGAAAACTCCCATTGTCTTATGTCAGAAAGTGCAGCTAGCCATAGAGGGTTTAAGCACAGGCTCCTCCACACACCTCCCCAAGCCCTTCCCCAAGGCACTTGGTAAGTCCACTGCTACTTTTTGCTAATCATCTCTGCTCTATGCATTTCCACAATAGACCTGTGAAATAGTATTACTCCCACTTAACCCTACAAAGAAACTGAAACTCAAAGGAAAAATAACTTGCCAGAAGCAAGTGGTGGAACCACATCCGAATCCAGATTTGACTGTTTCCTAATCGCTATATGTAATACTGCCCTCAAGTCAGAAAATTCTCTCTGGATTAATCTACACAGTTGAATTAAAATCTGCTGCCTTATTTACTGCTAATGATAGGATTTGGTTTGCAAAGAGATAGAATTTAGACTCCAACAGTAATTTCTCCCAAAGGTTTTATTGGACAGTTGAATATTTCCTATTTCCTTCTGAAAGTGGCTGAAATGATTACTATTTTGTATTAAAACCCCAAAAAGCAAATACCTTTAACTACATAAGACAGTGGTTTAAACATATAACAAAAATAGTCGGAGAAATATTTAATATACATTCTATACTTCATACATTCAGGTCTACAGATCAAGCTCTTTTCCTATTTTGGTAATGATTTTTTCCTAAATTCATTCTTACACCACAGACTGATACATCCAGGACCTGTGGAATATATACCTGTGAGATTATAGGTATAATCTGTGGATATACAGTAGAAGAGAAAGTCTCACAAACTTGAATGTGTTATACATTGGGCTCATTAAAAGCATGCTCTAAAATTCCACACAACCTGAAGTATATCATTAAGAAACTAATAAATAAATTGGGGTTCGTTCACTGATACAATGGAATATATACTGCATGAAAGAATACCTAGTGTCTTCTCTTTGGTGCTCTGCAAGCAGGTATGTGGTAGCTTCTGTGGCTGTTGGTGCAGTACACCGCATGGGCTGGTGGCCTCTACTAGGTACAGTGACTGACACGGTCACTGTCATCAGGGCCATGGCGCAGGGGTCAGAGATGCTCAACTGGCTCATGGAGGTCTGTGATGAGGGTAGCAGGAAAACTCTGATCAGAATGGTTCTTACAGATGACTTGAGCCAATTAGTAAGCATATTAAGAATAACGGGAGCTAGATTTCTCACCGACAGAGAATGGAGCTACACAAAAAAGAATGGAGCAATACTGGCATTGTTAAGTGTCAATGTGAATGTTTCTTTTAAAGAGAGAGGTCAGTAAAGTCAAGATCACGAACGAGAAAACAACACTGAGTAACTGCTGCAGGTTGAAGCTGAAGTAAAATGGTAAGAAATGCCATGAGTAATCCTGGACTGGATAGACTTAATAAAGGACGTTACTGGCACAACTTATGTGAACGGGGTCTATGGATTGGAGATTGTATCAATGTTAATTTCTTGATTCTGATGGTTATTATGGGGTCATGTGGAAGAGCATCCTGATTTTTAGAAATTATACACTGAGGCTTATATAGTAGGTGAGTGATTAGGAATCAGGTCTGCAACTACTCTTAAATAGCTCACGAAAAAAAACCATACTTTGTGTGTGTATATAAAGAGAAAGAGAAAATGATAGGATGAATGTAGCTAAATGTTGATAACTGGGAAATATGGAAGGGGGAATACAGACATTCTTGTGCTATTTTGACAACTTTTCTGTTAAGATTGAAATTTCAGGGGCTCACAGCTGGCTCAGTTGGTGGAGCATGCAACTCTTGATCTCGGGGTTGTGAGTTCGAGCCCCATGTTGGATGTAGAGATTACTTAAAAATAAAATCTTAAAAAAAAAAAAAGATAGAAATTTCAAAGTGAATGGCAAAAAAAAAAAAAAAGAATATAGACATTCATTATAACTAATACAGAATAAATTCTAAGGTATATTAAATTTTTTAAAAGTACAGAAAAGTGTATATTATACTATTTGTATAAAGAAGGGATGGTGACATACATGTATGTCCACACACATATGTAATGAGTGTATTCTTACTATACAGAGTGCCTGCAGAAACATACTAGGATCTGATCTACATTGTTTCTTCCACAGATGGAAAACCAGTAGCTAGAGAAGAATGAGAAAGGTTTTTTACTCTGAAACTTCAATTTTGAACTATGTGCAATGAAGTAACTTAAAAAAAAAAGAAAAAGCTTTAATCCAGTGGTTGCCAAATGGAAATGCCAGGCTGGCTACTTTGGAAGCATCCAGGGAAAATTTAAAACTAGATTAGCAGGTCTCAATTCCAGAAGTTCTATTTCAGTGAGTCCAGGTTAGGGGTCAAGGTACCACTAAAATTTCCCTAATTATAAAATATAACATGGTTTGGGAATTGGTGCTTTAAACAAATCATCGAAACCTGATTCTCTCTAAACCTCAAACTGTAAGTAAATTAGGAACTTAAGAAACAAATACTTTTTGGGGCGCCTGGGTGGCTCAGTTGGTTAAGCGACTGCCTTCGGCTCCGGTCGTGATCCTGGAGTCCAGGGATCGAGTCCCACATCAGGCTCCCTGCTCAGCAGGGAGTCTGCTTCTCCCTCTGACCCTCCTCCCTCTCATGCCCTCTCTCTCTCATTCTCTCTCTCGCAAATAAATAAAATCTTAAAAAAAAAAAAAGAAACAAATACTTTTTGTCCAATGGAGGATAAAATCATAACCTAGGGAAAGGATACCCCAGAAGTGGTATCAGAAAATCTAAAACCAAAAAAAAAAAAAAAAGAAAATCTAAAACCAGGGTTCACACTGACCCCTGAATAGAAGCCAAGTTATACACTTCATTCCACCATGCTGATTCCTTATTAAGGATCAAAAATATCCTTGAGGCTAAGGTCACCTCAATGTTACTCTGAATAGATAATACATTCAAATACTCTGCATTCTTCAGAAGGAACATTCAATGTAAATATGTAGCAAGATTACATAGTTATTTTTAGTTTAAAAACACTCAGTTGGCACAGGAAGATACAGTATCTATAACATTCTAAGTCTCAAGTGGAGTTCACCAGGGTTCATTTTTATTATTTATATCTCGATAGATATTAACTATATATAGGCATCAGATGTTACATAAGAATATAATTTTTAAAAATTAAAGCAACAAAATACCAGTCAGTTTAGATGTTTGGTCCTTACATTTAAAAAGTAAATAAAAGAAAACTAAGCATTACCATGCCAGCAGTACATATTTATTATTATTTTTGAATGGCCAAAAGACTTATAAGGCCCATCATTATTAGTATAACCACAGATATGAAATATCACTTAGTGACATAGAGTGAAAAGGACAGTTTTACACATATTAAAAAAACACATACACATACACACATACTCTCTCTGTCAAGTGCTCACCATACACTGCTACAAAAGCAGGAGGCATCAAGCTACAGGAGTTCCAATATACATAACATGTTGAAATATCTCAAGCTTAAAAACTGCACATAAGTTGCAAAAATAAAGTTTCTTTCTTCAAACATTTTGATCAGAGCTCAAGCAATGCAAATAATGAACACCAATGATTTTCATACTATTTAACTCACTTTAAAACATAAAAAGGTCAACAGTTGCAAAAAGTCCTGAAAATGTAGAGGTTATAGGAATGAATAATGCATTTCATCCAAGAAAAAGTCTACAGTAGATCTGTCTCATCCTGGCTCGTAAATATTTAAGAATCATAATTCACTATACTCAAACAAAGTTAAGCCAGAACAAAATGATAAAAAGAAAAATCATTACTTCAAATGAGGCATTATTGCCCTTAGTTTCTTTAGACAATTTCACTAGTGCAAGAGCATCATTTACCTGAAAGATCATGAGTCACAATTAAAGAGCACTCATACAAAACTATTTCCTTTTTTCTTTAAAAAGTGCCACATACTATACTTCTCAATAAAAAAAAAACAAACTGCACATACACTAATGAAAGACCGTTTGTCTCCATCTCTTGTCAATGAGGAAAGGCCAGAGTGATTCTTTGATTCCAATTCGAAAGGGTGTTCTCTGGCCAATGCCCAAGGTCTCTAATTTGGTGCAGTCAAGCTGAGCATTTCTTGGACGTTGTGCTCCTAAGACAGGACTGTCAGTTATCTTTAAAGAAAAATAAAAGCAAAAAATTTAAAAGTAAATGAAAAGCCTATGTTGCAGCTTTATAATCTCTATTTCACTTTGCCGTTCACTGAAAATCTGATTTGATCACTGGAAAAATACACAAATAAATTATCAAGACAGTACTTTTCCTATAAACTTCACCAATACTCATGGGCTTCCTTATAAATGATAATTTAGAGATAAGTAACAATATAAACCACCAACACACAAAGTTCACTTTAATTAGTACCAAAAAATGAAGTTATCCAATATTTTCAAAGCAACAAGAAAGTTTTATCAGTAATACATACTATACTGACAGATCTGGGCTTTCAACAAGTGAGGTTTTAAACACCATGTACTTACAGGTCTTAAGTGACTGCTTGGAAGGTTGAAGGCATCTGCAATTGCACATGCCATTTCATACTTAGTCATCTGTTCATTGCCAGACCAGTGAAAGGTTCCCTTAATTGATGGATCCTAATAAAGACATAAAAATTCAAAATAGTTTTAACTTTTTGAGTTGAGTGGAGTAATAAACAAAAAAAAGCTAATTTAAAAGTCCAGGAATTAAAATGCATCCCTCCCTTCTGGAATGCTCCCCACGAGATATCTAAAATCAAATTCCTATAAATATACCCAGCTAAACCTAAGAAGCAATTTCTAGAATTGAGGCTTAAGAATTATTTTTTTTTAATAAAAATATAAGTGGCTCCAAATTTTTAGTGGGTATCCTAAGAATGAGTACAGATTTTTACGGAAACACAAGCCAATTTAATGAGTATTTTTAATTATACTAATAAAACCAAAACGTAATAGAACCATTTTGCAGTATGAGCTAATTAGGCATGACATCCTTAAATAGTTCCATAGTACATATTTAAAACATAAATTTTTATGTGTTAAAAACTATGGACAACCTATTGTTAACATTCTAAAATAAATCAGTCTCTCATCTTTCTATTAATATTCTAGTTAGTCGCAATCTTTTCAAATGTCTGATATTAACCCCTATTTCAATATCTAAAAAAAAAAATTACAAATCATTCTTAAAACGGCTGAAATTAAAAATTCCTATGGAGAGTCTTCGTTGGCACTACATAAATCTTAAACAGAATAATTTCTTAAAGACGTTATTCTGTCATCCAAAGAAAAAATACAAGATTTTAGTCATCTTGCAATAGAAGAATGACAGCGTCCACAGTATGTGAGAAAAAAATTCAAACACAAGAGCATAATATTTTTACTATTCATAAATATAGCCTACTATCTGCAAACTACTTTTGTTTGGTCACCTTGTAGTTTTAAAAAAGCTTTAAACCCGGTATTTATTTATTTATATTATTATAAAGATATACGTTATTACATACAACAATAAAGAAAGCAAAAACACTTTGACTTTCACTTGTGGGGGGAAGTTAAGAACTCTTCCTTCCAAAGATTCTCACCAGCATTCTCTTCTCTGCTAACTGGCGACACACAGTGGCTACATCTTTGACATGTGTGGGGAACCTCTGCTGCCAGTGGTCCATGTTAGCTGACTTGTTACTGAACTGCACTTTATCAAACATCACAGTCACAGCACTTTCTTCAAGCTTTTCAACTTCTCCATACAGAACAGGAATTCTCAAAACAGCAGCTCCTAGGAATTAATAAAAACGGGTAATTTTTTAAAGCTGACTGGTTCTGAAGTCTTGATATAAAATGAAAGTATGTGGATTTAAATAATACTGTCATAGTGGGGCGCCTGGGTGGCTCAGTCGGTTAAGCATCTGCCTGAGGCTCAAGTCATGATCCCAGCATGCTGGGATTGAACCACACCACGTCAGGGTCCCTGCTTAGCAGGGAACCTGCTTCTCCCTCTCCTTCTGCTGCTCCCCATGCTTGTGCTCATGTGCACGCGCTCTCCTCTCTCAAATAAATAAAATTAAAAAAAAAAAAATACTGTTGTAGAAAACTTGCAGTATACCAAAATGACATAGTTCACCTATAATAATGCCCATTTAACAACTATCATACTGAATATTTTTAAAGGTCTCTTGTCATTTGGGGTATTTTTATATATTATTTTCAACAACCATAATAATGAAGAAATTAAACTGATCATGACAACTAAATGCAATGAGAGATCCTTGATTGAATCCTAGATTAAAAAGATGCAGTGAAGGACATTATTGAGACAAGTGGGAAAATTCCTACATAGATGATATAGTATAACATCACATTAATGTTAAATTTCCTGAGTGTGCACTGATATGAGGAATTCTTAATCTCAGGAAACAAACTGAGGGTTGCTGGAGTGGTGGGGGGTGGGAGGATGGGGTGGCTGGGTGATAGACACTGGGGAAGGTATGTGCTACGGTGAGCACTGTGAATTGTGTAAGACTATTGAATCAGAGACCGGTACCTCTGAAACAAATAATACATTATATGTTAAAAAAAAAAAAAAGATAGTAGGAAGGGAAAAATGAAGAGGGGGAAATCGGAGGGGGAGA